TTGTCTATCTGTCGATAATCATTATGAATCATGTAAAAAAGTTTAACCTTTTCTCCTTACGCCTAGCCTTTAGTAGCGAAAATTTGGCTCTCGAGTACAAAGCCTTTGGAGAATCTAATCGATGGTCTTAATAAATGAGGAAGGAGCCTTGCACCGGCGTCCTGGCTCACGTAACGGTAGTCATGTGCTGTGCGCGGCACGCTGTGAACACGGCATCGCCGCTTTTTCAAGTGTAGCTCAAACAGGGCACTCTTGAGAACTAAGTTTTACTGCCTCACTTAGAGCCCCAAATAATACTGAAAGAATAAACAGAGGGCCGGACAGAACAACGCATAATTCGTGCTTTCGTGCCTCTGTCCGTCCAGCTCTCTGTTTATTCAGCTGTCCGTCCCTCTGCTTATTATTTCAGTATTATTAAGTTTACCAACACGCTGACGTCTGACTCAGAGCCCCAAACTAGCACTTTTCACAGCACCAGTATTTTCTTCGGAAGCCTTCTAGTTCGTCGAGAAAAGCAGGCAAAAATATGGCTTAGCGCATGTTAGTACTTAAAAAAAAAAGTACTTAAAAAAAATTTTTGGCAGCCAAAGTGATTATGGCATGTGATAAGCCACCCAGCGTTTGCCGCCGCCTGGCCACTTTATGAAGTTGGAAACAGTTACGTTCAAAGCAAGTGCTCGAATTGGAGTCCATCTACAGAAACACACATCATCAGTCAGCTCCGCATGGAGCACAACACGCGCTCGAGCATTTCAGGCTGAACTGCGGCACAGGCGGCGACAATTCTTTGTTTCAGGTTGTCCACGCTGGTGGGTCCCGTGGCGTAGACTTTATTCTTCAGATAACCCCAAAGAAAAAAACCTAACGGGCTCAGATCTGGTAATCGTGCCGGCCACGGAACTGGACCACTGCATCCAATCCACGGCTCTGGAAAAGTTCAATGTAGAAATCGAACAGCACGCGAAGAAGAATGTGTTGGATGGCCGTCCTGTTGAAACCACGCCTCCTTCAGCCCGCTGAGGGGCAGGCCGGCAATAAACTCTTCCACGACTCCCTCAAGGATTCTCTCCGTGGATAGTTTTCCGTTCAGTGTGCCGTCAAAGAAATATGCGCCAATGATTTTATCCTGAAATATTCCACACCATATGTTAATAGACCATCTCACTTGATGCTTGTGCTGACGGAGCCAACGAGGATTTACGCTTGCCCAGTAATGGGCATTGTGGAGGTTCACCGTTGAATTTCTGCAGAATTGAGCCTCATCACTTCAAATAATTTTTTCAAGAATCCAGAATCCCGGTCCATTTCAATCAGGGCCCAACTGCAAAAGTCCAGTCGTCGTTGGAAGTCACTGCCATGTACCTCTTGGTGCACGCTAACGTGAAACGGATGCATACGATGCTTCACAAGCATTTTCCACACTGTAGAAATCGTTGCCCCAGAAGACCTCGCAGTTTCCCGCACGCTTGCTTCAGGCTCTGTTATGTACGCGAGAACGTCAGTCTCGAATTCGCGGCTAAGGATATATTTTTTTCTGTCTTCGCCCACTCACCACCGTGCCACTTGATGCAAACTTGTTGAAAACGCGTACGAAGGAAGTGTGGGCAGGAACGAAACGAGCTGGGTGCTGAGCGGCGTAAAGTTGCGCAGCATGACGAGCATTCTTTTGCATAGTTAAATATGCGATCACCATGTCTGTTTTTTCTTTAACCGAAAGCCTTGTGGCAATAAGCGATGCCATTCAGACGTGTTTCCTGCCACAGTCAGAGAAAGAAAGGCACAGTGAATCGCATAGCGCCTGTGTTATTTGTAGCCTTCGTCCTTCCAAAGATATGGGTGCAAACCTGTGTCTCTTACAACAGAGCAGCAAGTGACGCAGCGATCGTCGCTTTGTAGCACAATGGACCTTTTTCCAGTAAGGAGCGCCTCATGACGGTTTCGCCGCCTACTACAAATGGAGGGCAACCGGACTCGCCTTCTCCCATGGAAACAGATTAGTGTCGCAAGAAAACAGTGCCCCCCAAAAATGGCGAAAGGGCGGTCAAGGTCAAGGGAAAAGGGTGTGCGCGTGCGCAGACGCTTACTGGAAAAAGGTCCATTGGCACAAGTCTTCAGAGCAGCTTCTATCATATCAACGAAAGGAAAGGGTAGCGTCACGATGCCCGCTGGGACAGCGTGATTTACACCTGCCGCGGTAAGCAAAACACTAAGAAGAGAGCAACGTATTACAATAGCGCTGACGGTAGTGCCTGCATCACAGGTGACGTCACCGCTGTGATGCCAAGCGAGGCCGAAGATATCGACGCCATTGACGCTCTTGTTCTGATCAGTTGCGGTTTGAAAGAGCATGCGGGAATGGAAAATATTTAGCCAGAAGCGCGCGCAGAAATTTTTTGTGCCTTTATTTCACTGTGGGGTTGGAGCATATCAAGGTTGGGCTTCAATTTCGTAAATACAATAGGCCCTCTAAAAACAATAATTAAAAAGTTAATTAAGAGATCTCTGTTAATTAGCCGCCTAGTTGCCAAAAATACTTTCTTCCTAGTGGGCGCCAGGCAGGGTATGCCCATGGCATAACTAAAAGTGCCCTAACGCAGCTCTTGTTTTTTTTTTTTGAAAATTTGGTGCAGCTAAAAAAAAACACCCTGTATAATAGCTCCAACGGCAGTCCATGCCAACAGTACGTGTTCCGATAATGTTGGCGGTTAGGTGAGTTCTGGTGCAGCACGTCACCGCACTTCATTACAACATTGATCGCTTGACCAAATAATTGTTCTCTGAAGGCGCCATATGCTGTCAAAGCGAGTATATTTATTTCTTTATTTTAAAGATGCTGCCGGCCAACGTTTGAGGGCCAAGGAATGAGTGGAAGAAAGAAAAAAAAATGGTCAGTAAAAGAAATAAGTAGTTATAAACATACAGTACAATGCGTTAGCAACTTAGGCCGTATACAGTTCATTCAAGCAAAGAAAGGTTCATCAATGGCACTAGAGAATAAAGCGAAGGAGACAATGTCCATCGGGGCAGCTCGGTTCACTCACAAACAGTACGCGGAAAAAAGAATAATGTTTTAAAATATCTTTCATGCAACAAAACTCACAAATTAGTTTCTCATTTCTCTGTCTGGTGTCACAGCTTAACTTAAACTGCAGATAGGCGATAAGCTTTAAACAAGTTTTGTTACGTATAATGAGATGTAGAAATTTTAGGCGATCTACTTTCCTTCGACATGACAACTTAGGCAGCCCAGGCGCAGTGTACAACGGTGGAACGTGTGATACTTGGCCATATACGAATTATAAATGAATCTAACGGTGAATTCGAGTGGTCAGTTTCCGTCCGGCACGTATTTTTCATGGGTGGTGGTTCTCCGGCAAGCCCCGGCGATTTTTCCACCTGAGCTCTAAACGGCCGAGCGAGCAGGCGCCAAACTGTATCCGGTGTCGCCACTTCCGAAATGGGAGAGAAGATCAGTGAGAAAAAAAAATGAACGAAAGAACGCTACAGATCTGAAGTCACTTCAGCAGCCACTTCTCGAGTCAATCCAAGCCGCAGGACATGGGTGACGGCGGCGACAGCCTCTCGCTAGCGGTGTCGCGCGGGCAAGAGGTGAAGTAAAGCGCAGACCGCATGGCGCGTTTTTCTACACGCGAAAACGCGACGCGCTATGAACGCTCGCGCGGAAGCTGACGCGGGGGTACCCGCATGCAGACAAAGCCAAGCACCGCCGGCCGCGCGTTATCAGCGTTGCCAGATAACAGAATTCTCAACACGCGATGTAAATGTTGACGCAAATACTACAAAATGAGAATTAAATGAACAATTAAGTAAATAAAACGGGTTTGTATGTCAAAAGAAACAACCTTTCAATTTTTATACGAAAATAAAAATGCCTCTGAACACTTTAAAATGTGCTGAATACGAAACAGCGGACTGCGCAGGATCACGTGATAGTTCGACCGACCCTCATTGGGCGAGAGCCGCTTCGACGCCTCGGCGCGCGCGTCTTGTTCTGGGTCGGCTAGAAACCAACGCTCCCGCGAAAACGCGCCGCTGCGCGCAGGAAATGACGTCGATTTGACGCCGACGCGCCTGAATCGCGAGCAAAAACGCTCCATGCGGTCTGCACTTAAACTGCCACCGTCTGGCGTTTCATGTTCACATGGTGTGCCGCCGGCACGTTTCTAGTTGCCGGTTCTGCCGGCTCGATCTCGCCGGCGATTGGCCACCCGAATTCCCCATAAGAGACTTTCTTTGAACCCCCTCCAACAGATTTATATACTATTCCGAATGCGGGTCCCATAATTAGTCAGCGTATTTTAGTTAAGGACGAATTGGAGTTTTATACGCCGTTATCTTTTTTCTTGTATGCATTGAATCATAGTCCTCCGCAGTGATCAAGGCTTTCTAGAAGCTTTGGCAAAAACCTGCCCAATGTGAAGGGTCCAGCCTAAGGGAGAGGTAATTCTGACACCTATAGATACTTGTAGCATAGCCTCCGAGATCCCGAAGCGCGCACTCGCGCGCTTCGGGATCTCGGAGGCCATGCTTGTAGTCATGAACCAATGTCAACGCATCGGAGTTGATTGTATAGGGAGAAAAAAGGGGTAGATTCTTCAGCGTTATTTTCATTTGCACACATTTCTTAACGTTCAAGTCCATTTTCCATTTTTGACACCACAAAGAAATAAATTTAAGGCTACCATCTAAACATAATTGGTCAGGAACGCCATCGATTTTTGAAAACAATATACAGGCATCGGGCAAAAAAAAAAATGACACTGTGCGAGGTTAATCTATTATTAGATCGTTGATAAAAATTAAAAACAGCAATGAATCGAGCACCGATCCCTGGGGCACTCCAGACAGCACAGGCAATTCAATAGATTCTTCATTACCCACAGACGCGAACTGTTTACGGTTGGTAAGAGCTTAATTATATGGTACGAGTCTATAAGGTAGGAAACGAAGTGTGTAGGAGAAAAAAATAGCATACATACTTTGAGGGTAGGCACAAATGTGCTGAGAAGCGGCCGTCACAGTCTCTGAAATCAAGGAAACACACACAAAAAAAAGCAGAGGTGTTAAAGGTGTAGATTTTTTTCTGAGCTATACTGCGATTTTCATGAATGAAAAATTATATTGGTGTATTCGATGTCACAAATTCATTCGGTGAGCACAACAGGAATCGTGAATTATCCCTAGATAACTTCGAAAGACACCGTGATTGAACACCAGATTAGGTAACGCATATCTACGACAAATACTTACCACAAGCCAGGACACCACAGAGTGCCAAAAGGAGCACCACCTTGCAAGCTGCCATTCTTTTCATTTTTTGGAATAATTCCTGATGGAAGAAGACAGTTGATTAGTACGGCGATGAGCTGCGCCTTTTATATTGTTAGCGCACTACGCATTTTACGCCGTTATAAAAAAAAAAAAAATGTTTCCAGTATTCGAAAAACAAATAAAACTACACTCGGGGACCGCTTTCTGTGGGAGATGGGAAGAGCGCGTACAGACCTTTGATCCGCGCTCAGTCTGGGAGAGGGCACGCTTGCCAGAACCTTTCACAGCATCGGCACAGAAAGCTGCCCCCGATTATAGAAACATCTGGCAGCTGCCATGATGCGTGACTTTCGGGGAACTAGAACAACTCATTAGCCATTTTTATCTTTGTACGTTGATCTTCCACGGTGCGGAAAGTGTACAAAAATAGGTATTTTTAACTTGATTCATGGCACTGCCGTGTCGCGGGACTCGGAGATCTCGTAAACGGCTTTACGCTCGTGACTCCGCTTTTTACAGCATAGCTTACAGCCGGAAACATTCGTGACAAGTGTTTCGTTCTACTTCACTGACGCGTATGCATATACGAAGCGTGATGGCGAAACCTAAAAGGGATGCTCAACCGAAATCAGGATTCCACAAAGCACGGCGGCAGAAGTGTGCAATGGGACGCTACAAACACCAAAAAATCACTCATACAGCAATATCTAAAACGGATGACCGTATTTTTCTAAAAGAAAAAAAAAGGAGGCGCATTTGACAGATATGTTGACGTCTTGTTTCTAAGCCAAGAGTCGAGAAGGAAAGGGAACGGCCTCGCGTCTTCTCCACCTCGCCGACTTCAGGCACTTCAGGTGGGAAGAGAAGAGAGGAGGAAACGAGATAATGTTAACATTACGCGCCTCGTCGGCCTCGTTCAATCTCGACCTCTTTTTCCAGACATACGGCCGTCCATTCGAGATATCGCCTTACGATCGAGTGGTGTTGTAGGGATTGTAGCGTCCCGCCTACCGCTCCTGCATTGTTTTTTCTGAAATCCAAATTTTGGTTCACCATCCATTTAAAGGGCAGCTCCACTCAGTTCCGAAGATTGCTGGATAAGGAGTGATTTCGAATTAAAAAGCCCTAGTAAAAGACACTACGTCGTTTGCTTCGCGAAAAATGGGATGTATATTTCTAGATCTAATTTTAAACACGAGCGAAAATCGAGACCGAAACTTCGGCTCCGTCCGGCAACATTGGCCGCGGGCCGCCAACAACATGGCCATCACGTGATACGAGATGTCATGTGATCCTCGGCCCAACGACGGGTGGGATGGGAGCGGGCGGGCGTGCGGCAGGCGCGAGTGTCGTCTGCACCGCACTCTTCGCTACATTTTGGTATCTACGACATTCGACGACGTCTGCACAACTGCGGCATAAGTCTGCGCACGTGGTGTCCGTAGTGCGGACGAAACTCCGAGAGGAAATAATCACAAACGGTGAGAAGACGACGGCGGTTGTGACGCAGAAGACGGCGGTAACGTTGGGACCACGGCGGGGACCGGACGGCTCTCAAGAAGCGCACTGCGCAGGCGCTTTACGCCAATCATTTCGACACCGCTGAGCACCGAGAGGAAACGTTGCTGACGTCATGCGCTACGCTCGGCCGGAGAAGTAAAAACAAGCAAAAGGGAGCAACGGTCATGACGTTTAGCTCAATGTTGGCTACGCCCATGCCGTAGCCTTGACTGCGATGTTGGTTGCGCCCGAGTTCGCCTGAGTTCGCCCGCTCGAGTCAGCCGATTCCGGCAACTTGGCGAGTTGCACAGTTTGCCGGACCGTTTAAGAAACATTTAGACAGAACTCCGTCATAATATTTGACGTGTGGTCCTATGCGATACTGAGGCCAGATTCACGAAGAGCTTCTTAGTTTACGACAACTTAGCTAAGAAGTTCGTAAGTTAAGAACATCGTAAGAAGAGGAGAAATCGGTATTCACGAACGCGTTCTTAAGTGAGAGGAGGAAAGCGACGTTGTCGTACGGAGAAACTAAAACTTACCGGTGCTGTTGCTATGGCGACGGCGTCTTCGGCAGCACGAACAACCAATCGGAGAGCTCGGCATTTGTTCGGAGCCGTTCGGAGCCGTTCGGAGCACGTGGGTTTTTCATAACACAGGCGGCCTTTCTGCCACCGCTTGTATGGGGTTCGTATCCGTGCAGTGATATGTCGACGCTAACACGATTTAAACTGGCCCGAATGCCGAGGCCGGGATGCGTAACCACCCCCATTGACTGCTACGAACTCGATCGCTACCAAGTCAACACAACTGTCATCGTTGGTAAAAGACGGCCCGCAGTCGTTTGCAAACCGACGTAGATGGGAACGAATTGCCGCGGCGTTTTTTTGCGGCCTCGGAGATGCGGGAGCGAGCCGACGTTAAAAAAGATACGTTTGAACTACGACAGTGTAAGCAAGAGCCACGTAAATGTTTGTTTACACTACGGAGCGGACGCGCGCGTTTGATCGAAGTGCTGGATTTGCGCTGTTGGACCGTGAATTGATAAGCGCTTCGGGACCGATCCTTTACAATTGCAACTCGATGCTGACGTGACTCCCGGCGAAGAAAGGTTGGACCAGCATTGCGACCCACGAACTGTTACAGCGATCGACAGTGAGGTGCAGTCGTGTCAGAATAAAATGGAATACTAATAACAAAGTGTACATACCATGTTGCGAAGGTAATCCACACGGCGTTTATTTGAGCTTGATATCACACAAAACAGAGATAGAATTGATGAGAGCCCCTTTTCGACGACAGCGTTCGTCACCGTTGCCTCGGAAAACAAGGAGATGAAAAGAGGAAGAGATTGATCTCTTAATCTAGAATTGAGGTCAGCGATCAAACTATAATACGGGAAGGGTTCACAAGGGTCGCGCGGGCATATTCCATTCAGCACGCCGGCCGGTCGTGGGCAGACGGTCTGCGCCGAGACGGAGTGCCTGCTAGGCCTATCTGCCGATCGGTCGTGGGCAGACGGCTGCGCCGGGGTCCATATCACAAGAGCGAATGACATTTTAGCGAACGGCGACATTTGAGCGAATGGTCGTTTTAGCGAATAACGGGGGCGCGCGTTAACCCATCCGTCGCGCTGCGCTTTACGCCGCTTCGCGGCGACAGTCTTCGGCAACTCATTACAAAAATGTGTGCCCATTTGGCCCACTCGAAAACGCCGCTTCGCGGCGTCCGACTATTCGCTAAAGTGTCGTTCGATGAAAGGTGGGCGTTCGCTAAAACGTCATTCGATCAAGTGAGTGCCTCCCGCTGCGCCGAGTCGGAGTGCCTGCTAGGCCTATCTGCCGATCGGTCGGAGTCCGTACTCGTGGCCCTTGGAGTTTTTCCCGGGTGTCTGTAGATCCAGCGTTCTTGTTCGTTCGTCGTGGTCTGTTTCGAGTACTTTTTACTTGATTCTTGCTGCTTGAAGTCGGGACTCGTGAGAAGCGCACGTAGAAAAATAAACATCCGTTGGTTGTCGCGACCAACTGAGCGACGCTGTCGGCCATGCTGATTTGATCGTAAGAAGTGCGTAAGACAGCTTCGGAGCTGTCGCAGCTGTCGTAGGATTTCGTCGTAACCTGCGCAAAACTTACGAAAATTTCGTTTCGTGAATACGGATTTGTTCTTAAGCTTTGTCTTACGCACATTTTTGGCGTAAGATCGTTTCGTGAATCTGGCCTCTGAAGAGGACTGCATTGTTTTTTTTCAAAACCAAAAATGAAGTGGGGTTGCCCTTTAAGCGGGTAACACGGGTGGTTAATACCCCCCGTCATAGCCCTGTCAGACGACGCCTTCAGGGTCCTTTTAAAGGGCCCTCTAATAATGTTTGGACTGGTTTGAAATTTGTCGCCAGATAAAGCTCATCGAGCGTAGGAACACGGAGGAGAAACTTCATTTTTTTGAAAATGCTATTTATTTTGGAACTTACAAGCAAATTTAGATAATAAAAAATTAATGAAAGACGTGTAGAATTTTTTGTAATGCCGAATTAGAGAGCAGCTCTTGAGGAGGAGGAGGCGAGGGTACGGAGGGAGGTTATGCCCTCCTTCCCCTCCGTACCCGCCCCTCCTTCTCTCCTGCTACCCTCCCATTTAGCTGGAAATTTTCGCTATATTTCCTGCTTAATTGAGCAAAAATTTTTCTCGCTATATTTAGCAGATAAATATTTCCTTTATATTTCTCGGGAAATTTACAAACATTTTCCTGTTGAATTTATCGGGAAATTTTGCCAAAATGTCCGCGCTAAATATAAGAGAAAGCTTCCCGCTAAATTTAGCGAAAATATTTTTGCTAAATATAGCGGGGAAACTGAATTCGTGTTGACTTCACGTGACGTCAGTTTCCACGCTAAATTTAGCGGGACATTTTTTTGCTAAATTGAAATCTTTCCGCTAAATATAGTGGGGAAAGTTTTCTGCTAACTTTAGCGGGAAAAGTTTTCCGCAAAATCTTCCCTCTTAACGTCACACATAACATCACGTTTGACGTCGTTAGGAGAAATGTCACACATGACGTCAGGTTTGACGTCATTATGGGAAATGTCCCATAATGCAACGCGCGGCTACGCCGACGCCGCTCAACCCGGACAGGGACGCCTAAGAGCTGCGCTCTACTTCATGAGCGCTGGAAGCAGCGCTCATGTTGCACCGACCTGCGCGTGACGTAGCCCTCGGTTAGCGCTTCAGAAGCGCTCCAGTAGGCGCTCAGTTAGCGCTTCAGACGCGCTTCAGCAGCGCAGTGTAAGCGCTCTCACGCTCCTTGTGTCGTGCTTGCGGCTGCGAGCACGAAGCGCTATGTACTAAAGCGCTAACTGAGCGCTTCAAAAGTGCTAATCACGCGCTATGTGTGAACCGGCCTTTATGGACCATTGATTGATTGGAGGGTTAGAGCGAAGCAGCTGCACATTTCTCTCCGGGTTAGGTTCATGGCTGCCGCGCTGAGTACGGTTACGCATCGTCGCATCGTCGCCATAATGGTTATAGCTCCTTTCATCGG